ATTGTACAGTGGCATTAAGTGCCGTAATGTGCACCTCTGCCTACCCCTTCGGGGATAAAAAGGCGTGATGTTATGTTATGTAATCTAGGACTGGGTTAAGTAACCTTTAAATGACTTTCAGTACAGCGGTGACTGTCGAGTGTTTTTTCACACGCTCCGATTGCTAGCTGGTGCCAGGACCCCGTTGGCAAAGTCTGTACCTACTTATAGTTATTACGTTAGCTTTTAACACTAACTAGTACTTTTTGACGTACATTCACCACCGGATACCTGACACCGGCTGCATGGTAACTGGATCGTACAAAAAGGGCGTAATTGCTGGGTACTAGTGTGGTGCATACACAAAACCCTGGCCAGCTATTGTTTAGTAAGTGTTAGGTACTATACAGACCACACAGTACCAACGGGGCTTCTTATTTTTAGACAATGTAACGCGAAGATGCTGGTCATTTTTATGTGTTATTGTTAAATCATGCTTTAGTTTTGTCTTTTAGGTGTATTTGTGTGTGATATAAGATGTGTACGTGTCAATGTTTTCGTAGGTACAGTCAGTGTCAAAAGTATGTGTACTGTTTACCTACCCCAAAAAGTAACCAAGTTCACAGTTGCACACGTTCACAGTTGCAGTTTTTGATACTGATTGCTTGAAATACATACATATTTTTGTATATTTTACATATGTAATAGATTTAATTTTATTGATGTTTTGCATTAACGTGTATGTTAACCTGTAGTTAGCTATTTGTGTGTATTTAAAGAGTGGGAGTACAAATGTATGAGATTTCAGATGTTGTTACCTAAAGCTATATTTGCTTAGCTAAACTAATTATCCGCTTATAATCAAAAGTGGACTTTATGAACAAGTTTTTTCTATTGTTTTTTCAAATTATCCCTATCAAATAAAATAAGATAACATAACAATAACATTGACTTTGAAAATTTTTATATAAATCATAATATACATATAGTTACTACCTATATTTTGTCGCATCGCTGACAACCGGTATTTTGAAATGACGACAAAATTAAAATAACTAAAAAAATGACAATAAACTTCTCGTCTCTCGGTGTCCCCTTTGTGTAAAAGATATAATAAAATAACTTTTATATTTGAAATCATACATACGCCCATACAATCGCCGAAACGTCATATAAATAAACTTTATAAAAATATTTACATAATTATCTAATAATATTGTATGTTAAATCAAACTAAATGACAAGTTTTACTAAACAAAATTATGAGCACGCCATTTGTAAAATTCACAAAATATTTGACATTTTTAATATTTGTTAAGCTAATAGATGCCACGATAGGGTCTAATATATCTACTCCAAAAAATACATTTTAACATTTCTTGAGAAGTTATTAATTTTGTATGACAAAATATGTATAAAATATATTTTTAACAACAAACAAAGAGCAGTCACGTGAAAACGATGTCACTTAATATTACAGAGTCGATATTAAAACCAAATCGTGTCGTCTAATAGCAATTTAAAAAAACAGTTCCATATCATTAGAATTTCTTAGATTGTGACCAAAATAGTTTTAGCTATTTACATATATCCAAGCCAACATAGAGCTAAAATAATTTACCTAGTTTTTTAGCAAATATTATTAAATATCATGTACCTATACCAAATAAAGTTGACAGTATTAAAATAATTTCAATGTTATTCTCTGGTGTATAGTGGTTTTGAGGTTTTAGTACCTAACAGCCGAAAACTATGTACCTACTACATTTCTAATGAAGCGAAATTAAAAAAAAAGCTGTTCAACTCATCATAAAATCTCACTCATCCATTATAAAATGAGTAATGAATTTGAATTTAACTAATTTTTTTAATATGAGCTTTATTGCCAGTTATACACTAGAGAATGATAAATAGCAGTATTATAAGCAAAAGTAATTTGCAGCTACATCCGATATGATAAGATTGCCAAAGTAAACATGTAACTAGATTTTTGTTTATTTTATAGTACCTAATAGGTAACATTCGAACGAACAACAATGATTTTATACGATTGTGTTTATGACTGATTTATATTATTTTATTTTGTCGAATGTTCTTGAAAATAAAGTTGTGTTTTCAAACTTTACTTATAAATGTTTCATTTATCAAACCTAAATAAAGCCTAAATTTGGTTTCCATGATGACATAATAAATAATGGGAGAAATTACTTGATATATCCTTTATAAAACATAATATAATATAAACTAAAATAGTGAGGACAAACCAATTAAATGATAGAAAATAAAATATGGAAGTTTATTTTTGTAACTGACTGTACCTATTAAAGCGGTGGATACACTAGGTAGGTAAATAAAAACTACAGTTATTAATGATGACTATCAATGAGGGCGCCACAGGTCGTAACTACAAACCAAATAAAATCCAAAACAAACCTATAAATAAATTGCCATTTTTTAGACATATATCGTTCATTTTGTACATTTTTCACCTGTCATAGCTACTGTTCGAGCGAAAACATAATCTTATAAACAAAAATATAAAATAAAATTTATCCAATTTCTTGTTCTATTGAAAATGACTTTATATTCGAAATTATCAAAATACAAACAGTTGAGTCTTCTTCAATTTGACTTCTTCAAATTCAATTTCAATCTAGTACCTTTTTATTTTAACAAAAACAAAAGCAAAATAAACTCGATCACAGCTGTTGATAACATTCATTTTCATTGTACTTTAATTTAGTGTTGCCATAGTTTTAAAGTCGTTAGTTCCACAAACATTCATAGTATAAAAATATAGATTAACTCATGGAATAGAAATAAATACTATTTTTCAGTCATTATCTTTTGCAATTAACGAAACTTGAGTCATTTATAATTAAAAAATATCAATATGACTGGCGGGAAAAAACTACAACCGTGTGCACTGTCTTTATTCGAAGTGGTTCAAAAATCAAGATGGCGGATTGAAACCCGAAATTCGGAACGCTATCGTTGCATGATACCGCATTGCTGCGCTTCTTTGATAATTTTGTTGTGACTTTCGATCTACATTGTGTGTTTTGGCCGCCAATGTCAAATTGAGTCAAAATAATTTGTTTTGCGGTGTTTTACTGGTAAGTAAACCGAAATTACTTTCCCAAAAACTTAGAAAATGATGCTAAAACGCAATAATAATGAAGTCAGGCTCGTGTTTTTGAAAGCGGTATGATATTTTACTTCTGGGAAATAACTATTTCAAAGAATTTCAGTAGATTTAGAGGTAAAATCGATTGAAATTGTTAGAAATGTTGTTTTTGTAACATTAATTTATCCCGGACGCTAGCATTTCATAATAATTGGCGTCTTATCAATTAGTCGAAATAGTCAAATCATTCATTACCGGTGTTCTGGAATGTAGACCTACAGAATTTAAGACTGTCAGTGTTCAATAACAAATTGTTTTGGTATTTAGATCAATATGTTAGGAGTAATAGAACTACATCGAAGGGCTAGCCCTTCGATGTAGTTCGACCATAGGCCTAAAATAGCCTTTGCCTTAAAAAAAGCCTTCGAAGCAGGTTAGCAGAAGCTAGACTAACCAATAAGTTATTCATCTTTCCCCTTACAAATATATTCTTTGAAATCATGGTTCTGCCCTGAAACTAAACAGCTAGACTGATAATATCAACAATCTATAATGAAAATAGCCATTCAAATTAATAACCTATAAGAGGAAGAAAAATGAAATCTTTTGTGTAAGTACTTTACATTACTCATTTATTATTTACAATGTGTTACTGAAAACAATGAATTTTTAAATAAAAGACCTTCATACGCATAGGTAGATAAATAATGATTGTCCACCATTATACATACATAGACAAAATAAAAATACATAAAAATATGAACACAGTCTGTCTTTGTCTGTGTATCAATGAAAGTCATATATCTACATATATACATAATCTATAATCTATTGAATATACACATAATCTACTTTTGGATAGAAGGAAGTAGGTATTACTCAAAATTTTACATTAACTCGTCGAGTACCGTCAATTCGGACACAATTATAGAACAATAGGTTGCGGTCGCCGGTGACCGCTTGGTGTTTGACAGTTTAAAGAACAATAGGTTGCGGTCACCGGTGTCCATGCGGTGTTTGACAGTTTAAGCATAATATCAGCATTAGACAATTAGTTCTGATCACTTACCATCATATCTGATCCATCTGCTTGTTTGCCTCCTATTCCATAAAAAACCACCTTTCATTCTGTGTGAGTTACATTATACATACATCACGCTAAGCCATTAGGCTTCAGGATCAGGGTCCACAAATTGTTGTTCTTAAACTGTCAAACACCAAGCGGTCACCGGAGACCGCAACCTATTGTTCTTTAATTGTGTCTATAATGACGGTACTCAACGAGTTAATCTGAGAATTGAACTAGTAAAATTGTGCAGCAACCTGTTGCATGTATTGAATTGTAATTAATCAAATAAATTAATGCTATCTATTAAAAAAATGTTATAGCTATTTCTATTAGGTAATCTATATTTTTTGTTAAATTAATTTTATTTTTCATTCTAGGTGGTGCGAGTTGCACTAAAATGAAATGGATCCTATAGTAGTGAAAACTGAGATGCAGAGCAATGGAGAGATACTTCTATTTTATGTTGATGGTAAGTTATTTATTATTATAATATTACGGTTTCTATTAAACTGAAGACTAAAGTTTGTGGTCATCCTTTTCATCATTATTAACTACTTCGATAAATTATACAGTTCAGTTTTTTAATTATTTAACCATTCTTTTATAAAATATGTTCTTATATCAATTATTGATATCATAATGATTCAATTATGTTGTAACTAGTGCATTGTAACTAGTGGTAGTAGTATTAATGATAGTACTAAGATAGTACATTGCAATAACTTAGCCATTGTGTAGGTATTAATGGAACAATAATATAAATTGGCTTTTATTAAAAAAATGCATTATTATTACAGAAAATGGTGGTAATGAAGAAGGAGTACTTACTACAGTAGAGAATATTGAAAATCAAGCTATACAGCTTCAACAAGATAATTCCTTTGTACTCCCTGATATGGTTGACAACTCCAATGAGAATGCTGACCAATCAACAGCTGATAACTGGACTGATGATGAAATAAACAGACTCCTCGTCTTTTACAATGATAACAAACAAACTTTTATCAATGGCACAACTAAGAAACAACATCTCTGGACCGTTGCCTGCAAAACAATGCTTTTAGGAAAAAATCCAAACTCATGTGAGGCCAAACTGCATAGCTTACAAACAAAGTACAATGAAATATGTGAAAACATACAAAAAGGACTGTACGAAGAGTGGCCGTACTTTCAACTATGTCATAATATATTCCAAGATGAAAGCCCTGTGATTACCATCGAAACGGTCAACTCATCAGAACCACAAATTATTAAAGTTCCAGCTTTGAAACAGAACTTCGACAATGTTATGATGGTTAAAAAGATAAATAAACCTGTGGTTGATGAGAAAGTTCATACAATGCTTACTTTGTATTTGAAATACAAGAAAAACTTTCAAGAAGAGTACTGGAGACGTGGTTTGTGGGAGACCATTGCGATGGAGATGGGAGAAGATGATGGGGAATACTGGCAGAAGAGATTCTTGAATTATAAACAGCATTACTTGAGATTGCTTGACAAGAGACGAGACAGTGGCAACGAAGGTATTAACTGGCCGTACATGGAGTTATTTGATAAAATATTTGAAGGGGACCAAGAATTTAATCGAAAATACTTGAATGAAGAATACAGGTTAATTGAAAACCAGGCTATAGCTGATTCTGAAGAGATATCACCACCTGAAGATTGGTTAGTTTGTGAAATGACTGTTTTAGCAAAATATTATTTTGATTGTTACGATGAGTTTGAAGATCAGACAATACCTAATGGTTTCCTATGGAATGAAATAGGCCGGTTACTTGACAAACCAGCCGATGATTGCAAAGCGAAGTTTGAGGAGTTACGAGAGGCTCATTTGCAGAAGTATATTGTTGGGGCTGTCGACGATTTGCATAGCAGAAAACCAGTTGATATAGTATATGACCATATCATATCAAAGGATATTCAGAATGAAATGGAACGGAATAGACAGATACCAGAAGAATTAGAGATATGGAAGACAACGGAGTTGGATGACTTGGTCCAGTTCTTCTATGACAACATACAGTTGTATAAAGACAAAATATGTCATTTTGTGTGCTGGGCAGCTGTAGCGAAGAAGTTGAAGAAGACAATACAGAGTTGTAAAAGCCAATGGGATGACTTGGTGCAGTTGTATCAGACTATTCTAAATGATAAGAAGGAATATCCTGATATGCAGATTGATTGGCGATATATTGAAGTTTTTGATAGAATATTCGATTATGGTATGGATACTAACTTGTTAGTTGGGTATGACAAACCTAAGGATGCTGGCGGTCCGAAAGCAGTTCAGGAATCAGAATTGGGGAAGGTTGGAGGTTAGTATACGAGTTTTTTATTGAGGTCAATAAAGTAAAACTTTTTTTAATGTTTAAAAGACTGCATGTTCACTACAAAGAGTGGTCTGATTCCCGGTCAGACAAATTATTATTAATTTGGGTTTTTCGGGTGAGTCATATTGTGTGTGGGAATAGGTTCGACCCCCTATAACTTGCTGTATTAATTTTTAGATTTCATTAAATCTGGTAGTAGTCAGATCTGTTAATGTTTTGTTTATTAACACATTTCAGTACGAATTATAACGCAATACTTTTTTATTTCCAGTAAAAAAAGTGAATATTAAAGAGGAAGTAGGTATGGATGACTACAGTGATGATGACGAATACTATGATGAGAAAGGATTCACAAGGCGAACCAAAAGGCGTGCTGGAGAATCCAAAGCATTCAAAATCCTCGAATATTACCAAAAGCACAAAGACAAATTCTCCACAACTAATAGAAATAAACATTCCTTATGGGAAGTTCTGGCTAAGCAAATAGGTATTTCAGCTACCCAATGCGCTCACAGATTTAGGAACTTAAAACAGGTATACACTGCTTACGTCCAAAGAGAAATCAACAAACCAGAGATGCCTATATTATGGCCTTATTATGCTCTTTGTAAGAAAGTCTTTGGCTACCGAGCCATCAAATCAAAGCTCAAGAACGGCAGAATGGATTCCGATGACAGCGAAGACTGGTCAGCGAAGGAAATCAAACAATTGATAAATTACTTTGCTAAAAACTTCGAGGAAATTGATAATTTTGTCGATGACACAAGTAAGTGGTCTGATTTGGCAACAGATATTGGTAAGACGGAGAATGCTTGCAAGGAGAAGTTTATTGAATTGAGGAAGTCTTATAGGAAGTTGAAGACCATGAGGAGTAGGAATCCTGATGTAAAGATTTCTTGGAAGTATTTCAATATGTTCGAAGATATCTATAATGCTAAGCAGAATGGAAATGATGAGGCCATGGAAGTTGAGGAGTTGGACTTGAATATGGTTTCTGATGAGAAAGAAGGTTTGTAGTTTGTTATTTCAATCCATTCTATGATAAATGATCAAATGTTTATGTAATGTTTTTAACCAACTTCAAAAAGAAAAATAAAGAGGTTCTCAGTTTGTCCCATATGACTTCAAAAAATGGGGGTGTTGTGGTCAGTTTTTATAAATGCAGTTTAAAAAATATATCAGTAATAACATTATATTCGTTGTTGTCTGATTTGTGTCCAGTTCAAAGTAAAATGAACAGTTAGTCATTTCTATTTATAAACCCCTTTAAATACAAGATTCTATTATTTGTTACATTATTTTATAAGGACTGTCTTATTTTCTTTCAGAAGACGACTACCAGTGCATCATAGTGATACCAGAAGGTCAAGATATATCGCAGATAGAAAACGCCCAAATTATAATACAAGACCCAGCAACTTTAGAAACTGTCCCAGAAGAACCAGCACCAGCAAAGGAGGTCAAACCATTCCCAAAATGGACGAAACGGACCAAAAAACGGTTGATTATCTTCTACATTAACTACATAAGGGCACATAAAGGGAAGGAGATCAAATCACAAGAGATGTGGAAGGAGATTGCGTCGAAATTACCAAACAAAACTTTGCAGTCTTGCAGAAAAATGTTTGCAAAACTAAAGGCCAATCACAAACAATTAGATAAGTCGGATCCCAATGTGAAAAATAACCCTTATTTCACTTTAATGGAAAAGGTAATGCGTTTGAAACCGAAATTTGAGAAAGGGGACCAAACTAAGAGCTTAAAAGATGGGAAGGTCTATAAGGATGTCACTTTACCTGATGATAAAGTAGTACAAGTGTTACAGTACTATTTGGAGAACATAGAGGACTTTGTCAGCCCTAGATACGAGAAGAAATACCTATGGACAGAACTAGCTAACTACGTATGCGAACCTATTACTAAAGTCTTTAACAAATTAAACTATTTGAAACAACAATATAATAGTGACACCAATGAAGTTGCCGGCCAAAAAACACCATTTGGGGAGCTTCTAAAAGAAATTCAAGCTAGAGAAATTGCTGTGAAACTCGTGGTAGAAAATAATCCTAAACCGATTATCGAACTACCAGATGATGAGGAAACCTGGTCTGATGATGAGACGGAACAGCTTCTGGAATGGTACTTAAGCAATTTGGAGAAGTTTAAGAACCCTAAATATGTTAGGAGCTATCTTTGGCTGGAAGTTTCCGAGTTGTTGAAGAAAAGTGCTATATCTTGTTCGAAGAAAATGTCAGATGTCCGCACTGAGTACAGAAATATGGTGAGAGAGAAACCTGAGGAGTTGAATGGATGGAGGTTCCTAGACCTTTGCCAGAAGATCTATGGCACGGGAAAGAAAGGAGCAACTAATACTAGTAATTAAATCTGTAATTGGTTATCGCAAACGACTGATATAGCACCTATTCCTTTCTTAATCCAGGGTTAGTCTAAGTACCTATCTAATGTTGAAATTCGTGTCTGGGTTGTTGTTATTGGGCGTCTGGACCTGGCGAATGCGTTTAAATATGAAAAAATGCAATAGGCAGCGTTTAAATGTTAAATGTACGCATGCGTTTCGCGATATGTTTGCTAACGGCGTATTCAACAAACCTAGAAACACTATGACACTAAAAATATCTATTTTACATAGCGTCTTTATATAGTTTTATACCTATTTTCTCTTTCTTTTTTTACTTGCAACTGTTTCTTTAAACTATAGGTAAATGTTCTTTGGTTATCCCGCCAATTGTTAACTGATTTACAAAATTATTTTCTGTAACATGAAAAGTATGGTGAGACCCCAACAACTGTTATTGTTTATGTAATGTATGCTTTGATCTTAAAATTTACTAGGTCACTACTTAATTCTGTTTGTAAGTGTGAATCCAATTACCATCAACAGTCCATGGCAGTCAGTCAGTCAATGCTGGACTATATGCCTTCTCTACATAAGGTTTGCCAAAATTTCCTCCCTTGGTAGGCGGGTTGCTAAATACAGTTTCAATTGTCGACCTCAAAATTCTCAGTAACAATGTGGAGTCACTCTTAGAACGATTTTTACCACCTACGAACAGAATTTGGACTCTCTGTGACTGTGGACTCGTAAGTGCTTTTTCAAGGCCCCGTTACCGAGCAAATGTACTTTAAAACGTAGTGGTATACTTGAAAGCTAACATACATACCTATACATTTTGCTGTGCTGCCGACTAGCTGGTAACTGGGACGTGTGTAGGGCCTTAATCCTACATAGAATATACGTGCTGTTGTTGGGTGATTCCTCAAAAAATTTAACAAGAATAAACGTCATTGACCTCATAGTAAACAATTCTGCAGATTGAAATTGAAATTGTGATTTTGAAAAATGAAACTATCCCCTTGCTCTCAAGCAAACTAAAAATATTGATGATAGTAAGTTAATAAGTTACTTAACAATGCGTGAGATTTATGATATGTTAAATAAATGTTACCTTTTTTTTCAAAATTACCCATTAGGTACACATGCTAAAAGGCGTCCTATCAAAAATCGAACGCCTGTCGATTTGAAGCATGCTTGAAATGCATGCTAATTTTGAGTAACATTCCGAGACACATGCTTCTAAGTGACAAGTGCTCAATTGAAGCATGATTTTGTGCTTGAAATTAGCATGTGTAACAGTACCATTCTCACTGGTTTTAATCTAAAACCTCTGAATCGATCTCTATTTTTGACAGCAACCCCATAATAAATATAGATGATGTCAAAAATCGATCTTTTAAAAGATAGAGATCAGTTCTTTCGGCCGTTGTAAGAGGGTTAGTTATATTTTTTCTCATAAAATCACTCTTTAACTTAATGTATTTTATTGTTCATTTAAAGTAGGTAGGGAAAATAATCGCACTGTAAATACAATGAAATTATGTGAGCTATTTTTTAAATGTTATTTTAGTATAAGAATTATATTTTAGCTTTTAATAAATATAATGTCGATAATTACGTTTTTTATTTATGTCGAAATCAAGATTACACTGGTGGTGTAATGCTGCTGTACAACGTGTCGTGGTTTTGGTTCTAGGAACAATTGAAAAGTTCTTAGCATATTCGATAAATAGTTGTTCTGTATCTGGGTGTGACGTAAACACTCCTACGACACGGGAAAATCCTGTTATGGGGCAATATAACAAGTAGGTGGAACAGACACAGTAGAAAAGGATACCAGGGACCCGGACACCTAGAACACCTTGCACCTTCATCCCTCATCATCATCATATGAGCCACAAGACGTCGAATGCTGCATTGTAGACTATAGAAAAAAAACCCTCTTTCGGCCAAGTATCACAAGCCTACTTATCTAGTTTTTCCTAGGGTTGGCTCGAAGGTATAAAATAATCAAAGGCCTATCAATAAATAGGGGTGTCACACAGTGGTCACCCATCAACAAGTGGCGCAAGGCCGCGTCGTTTGACTCGACCGCGGTGCTCGTAATCTTGTTAAGCAAACCGGACGTAAGCTGTGGGCATATTGGAAAGGCTTTACTGTTTATAACAAGAGACTAGCTTCTGACAGCGGCTTCACCCGCGGTCTCGTGGAACATAAAGAAGCCTGTGTGTTATTTCAGACTATAATCTACCCCTATTCCAAATTTCATCCCGATCCCTTTAGCCTTTTCTCCACTGAAAGAACACTTTTTGAGGGAGGGAAATCATCCAATGACTTCTCCCGCCTTGGGTTAGTGGAGAGGGAGTATCAGACTCTGACTACAAACCATCCCATTCCTACTCCTGCTCTTTGACCCGGAGCCCCGGCAACACGTTAGGCTTTCCGCAGCTATGCCAGCCGGCGCGTGAGGGAACAAACCTCACGCCCCAGCCATCGCGGGAGACACTCCGGGCGTCGGGGATCGCGGGACGATCTCCAGCCACCGTGGGTGCGGGTCTGCGGACGGTGAGCAAGAGTAGCTCGCCGCCGGACCAGAACCAGACCCGTGCGTACGGCGCGTCGCGTTCCACGCGCGCCTCAAAGAGCCATCAGAGCACAGTACGGCTGATGCCGATACGGAGCCGCAGAAGGCCTAACGGGTTGCCGGGGCTCCGGCTCGAAGAGCAGGAGTAGGAACGGGGTGGTTTTTAGTCAGTAAGAGTCTGACACTCCCTCTAGCCAACCCAAGGCGGGAGAAGTCATTGGAAGATTTTTCCCCCCTAAAAAAAGGCTTTCCGCAACTCCGTAACCAAAAATGTTGAAGTGACCAAAAACACATTTTACATTGTCTTGTTTGTGTGACTTGCTCGCACGATTAATCGCTTTCCGCTCCTCTTATGCCCAGCCCACGTCCTTATTTACTTTTCACACTTCAGCAAAATCGTCTTCAGTACTGCTGAAAGCAGTGGTGTGAGCTCGGATAGTAAAAAATGTCTACCATTTGTGAAAAAAAGCGAAAAAATCGATTGAAAACGTTATTGTGACAGTGTATCTATCAACTTAATTTGGTTCAAAGTGCAAAAATGGGAATTCAAAAATTGGTGTTAAAACTATAAACTTAACGATAACAAATAAGGTTAAAAGTGTGATTACCTAACTTAATTAGGTATAATTATTTGGTGAGGCAGTGGGTTATATCTGCAGTGTAAATATTGCGCAGAAGGATTTAATTCAGAGAAATCTGTCTCTATTTTTGGGAGCTATTTTATCTGAAGTGCAGTTTTGTGTATTTAGGTTTCACAGTTTCAAATTACCTACCAATGAAATGACTACTTAATGAATGATGACCTACTAACCTAAATAAGTAGCTAATGTCTTTTGGTTAGGTAAAAAGATATTACTTATCGGATATTGTCCTTTGTCTAGCTTTAGTGGACAAAGAATTATTATTGCTATACGATTTCATATCCAACAAATTTATAGTACCTTGGTATTTTTAGGGCAAGTTCGGCAATTAGGTTCACTACCGATTTTATTACGGCTAACGAATAATAATGTAATTGGTGAAAAGTCAGTATATTGCATTGTATACCTGCTTATGTGGTTCTCTGCCTATCCTTTCAGGGATTAAAATGCGTGACGTTACGGTAAGTTCATCCATATTTAGAGTCTAGTATGTTTGAGTATGGGTGGTATTTGGTGATGAAAAATGTGCCTAGGGCTTTTGGGATGGGAAAATTTTGAGTGAGAGATTCTTATCTCACTTAAACTACCCTGGTGGCCGTAATCAGCACCTCGATGAGGGCATCGGCTCTTACGGCTCTTGCGGCACTTGCCTAAGGAGACAGAAGTGTTCCTGAGCTCGCTATACACGGTGAATGTGACCAGTAATAGTGGCCCAGTCACTAATTACCGAGCAGACTACAACAAACCAAACGTCACGCCTTTTTTCCCATATGGGTAGGCAGAGATGTACATTACGGCACTCAATGCCACTGTACAATGTAACTACCTCTTGTCACTATTTATTTTATGAGTCCCATGTAATAGGCGGTGAGCCTATTGCCATATACCTACCGGGTGCATTTCCAGACTCCGTGCTACTACTGGGATTTAAAAAAAAACTATAAGTTTTCCCCAATCAAATCAAATCCGAGACCCCTTGCCTGGCAGACTTGCCCCTGAAGAGATTTAAATATTGAAATTCATCTCATCTCTACTAATATTATAAAGCTGAAGAGCTTTTGCTGTTTTGTTTGTTTGTTTGAACGCGCTAATCTCCGAAACTACTGGTCCGATTTGAAAAATTATTTCTGTGTTGGATAGCCCATTTATTGAGGAAGGCTATATAAAAGGCTATATAAAATATCACGCTACGATTATTACGCGCTTATTAGTTACTTTATACATAACTGTCAATCGGCTGATACTCTATACAAAACTTGTGTAAAGTTGTAACGTGGTATTTATTGGTTCATTGGGCTTAACATTAAATCACGTCTTTTAATAGTCGAAGGGAAAGGGGCCCGCTTTTCGCCAGTCAGATCATGACTTCCATGGAACGGGGATATTGATTTAAATACCGAAAAAACATTTTAAACTCCGCACATAAAATATAGCGAAATTTTGAATTTTTACTACTGATTATAGGATAAATAGCTACCTGAAATTTTAACGGTAACGATAAAAATCGAGATTTTCTTACGCCTATCAAAACCTATGAAAGTACCTAACTATGTGTGGAAGTTTTAAGGGTGGGAAAGCCATGCTTTGGCATGAATGGACTGGTACGACCGGAGCGATACCGCGGACTCACAAATCGACGTGAAACAACGCTTGCGTTGTGTTTCGTCATGTGAGTGAGGTTATTGGAGGCCCAATTTCCCCCCTTCCTAGAATCAATCATAATCCTCAAATTCCCAATTCCTAAAAGGTCGGTAACGCACTTGGAACGCTTTGGTGTTCTAGGTGTCCATGGGCGGCGCCGATTGCACACCATCAGGTGATCCGGCCGCTCGTTTACTGGCTTATCCCATAAAAAAAAGTATAAAACGCAAATAGTAATTCGTATTAGATTGATTGCTACGCACGTGTAAAGACCAACATTCGCACTATATTGAATTGTAGACCATTAGATAATGAAACGAAGCCATACTTCGATATCCACATAAGTACAATGCAGCCATGTGCTTAGAATGGATTATACATAGCGCGATATATCGGACTATTAATATACTTTGTCTTTATAAAAGTCCTTCGATTCAAAAGTGGGTACCTACCCACTTTCGAATGAGTGAGAGGCATGGCAATCTACCTAGACTGCCATGCCTCTGTACCACCCGAAAGTGAATTGGAAATCAAATCAAATCTAATCAATTTATTTGGTAAAGAAATAGGTGATAAGTCCACCTACGTAACTACTATTTTTTGTGTAGAAAACATTAAAATAAATTAATAGGAAAATATTATTTTACTATAGTAAGCAAGTAGTATGTATATCTGAACTCTCCAAACACCTATACAGATTTTAATGACAATTTCTCTATTCTTGACTGGAATTTAGAGTTCTTAGTAGGTGGCGCTTCATACGGATAGGAGCGTGTATTTACGTTTAGTATTTTATTTATTGCGATTCTATTGTATGTACATTGGTAAATACATAATCTAGCTATACAGAACTTGTTTTTCTCAGGACACTGCTTTAAATCTTAGCTAAATTGTAGGAACATTTTTCTAGTTTGGTTTTGAGTTTGGGTTCAGGTAGTAGGATCGCTCCTATCGTAGACTCGCTTTTACGGTAGAATTGGGAATTAGTATTGGTGGTTGCACTAACAGACTCAACATTTAAAACGCTAAGTATTACAGAATATTATATCCATAATACTAAGCCCATGTTGGACGTAACTATCCATAAATACTATGTTACGTAGCAATGTTTTTTCTAAAGCCACTTACTTAAGATGGCGGTTGCAAAAATAGCTGCATTTGAAAATAGTTAACACATGCAGCCTTTTGTAAATGGATTACATTTGTGCATGACATACGTAAGTCTTCAATTATAATAAAAATAACATGTCTCGTAGCTTCCATCAAGGTTGGGGATAAGCTTGCAGTCGAGGTTACTTCCTACAAAGTTGATGTCTTTAGGTAGGTAGATTTTACATACGTGTGTTTAGTATTAACCTCCTAAACTGCAGGAAAAAATTTTATGAGCTTTAAATTGGGAACCTTATCACTGGAAGTAGGTACGAAGAAGGGGACATAGACTAATTCATGTAAGCAAAGTTGCGGATAAAAACTAAGTGTATTATTTTTTGTTGCTTTTGACGTTTCGTCGCTAAATTTCGTACAAATAAAAGTTTCTTTAAGAGTTATCAATCAACAAGACTTTTTGAATAGTGTTTAAAAGGGTCTATAGATAATTAACTCGTCGAGTACCGGTTTTGTAGACACAATTATAGAACAATAGGTTGCGGTCACCGGTGACCGCTTGGTGTTTGACAGTTTAATCTGGGTAGGTTTTGTCATAGGCATTACCATGCATTACTTACGGTATATTTTTCAATCATCAGTTAATTCTTAACTGTAAAATTAAATTGACATTAGACAGTATTTGTATAGAAGAATTGTTAAATATTCAAAGTTAATCCTCAGTTAAAATTTATCTGGCGTTGGAATAATTGGCTCTTAGGTAGTTAGGGATCAGGGGTTTACTCTTGTGTCCAATTCCGATCGATCGACATTGGTATTGTGAAATATCGTAGGTACTCTTGAGTTGCAACACTAGCGCCCATTGCATCCGTATTGCGTGGATATTGAATGAACTAAGTGGTATTGAGTTTGGCTTTTTATTCCGTTCTCTGAATGCTATTTTTAACAGCTACGCTAAGGGTTGTAAAGTTTTAACATTGAATATTTATTGAGTTTTTATTGGATTTAAATTGTATTGACATTGAGATTGGTTTCAAGAGTAAGCATCCTGGTCTTATCGTAGGTACTTGAATCAAAGACATTTCCTTCAATTTGTAACATACTCTCTATTTGTTTTCTAGTACAAAGAAAATGAAATCTTTGTAGACACAAAATATAGCAGAAACAAGAATGTCATATATATACCATTGCTCAAGATAAATGTATGAACATATATATTTGTGTGTGATGTTGACATTCATGATGAAGTTCGAAGTGAAAGTGTTTGTGACTATCTTCATGACTGTTGTGAAGTCATGCGAGGCTGGCAGAGTGCAGGCCGCTGTCAGTTTTTTGTAAGTATTATTAACTACTTTTTGTTAGTGACGTCATCAGTCTCGTTAAAACAGGAGTCAATTCACTTTCATGTGCCTTTTCTACACCACAAAATATTTCAAAAAAGAAGCTAAACATTGACCACTACTCCTAATTTCGTTTGTTGAGCTTAAAATCGATGAACTCAATGATATTTTGTTCAAATCATGCATTTCCTGAATATCCATTAAAGAGACAAACTTCCTATCAATGAGATAAGTCTAGGTATATTGGCGCCATTAAATTTTCCAGAAGTATTCTCTTTTTCTCATCTTCTTCAACCTTCTACCAATCTGGAAGTCGTTGGAAAGACCTATATATACAGCAATGGACTGTGATTGATATGAATGATGCTGTCTCACAACTCAAAACCTATCAATATTTATCTTTCAGAACAAATGCCTCCTACCAAGAAATAGAACTGAAATCCGAATCCAGCCTGTCACTGCGGGACATTTTGCCGGAGAAAGCCAAGTTTTACGACAAGAACCGAGCGCCCAAGCTGCAGGGACAGCCAACCATAGTCTACTTCCACGTCACCGTGCTGTCTCTGGATTCTATAAATGAAGAGAGTATGGTGAGTTTTAATATACGGTTTTGCTCCAAGATATAAACCATTTTTATTAAATCTGGCACGAGAAGTTGGTCCTGCATCACAGGTACGTTTATAAAGATACACATACCTATAGACTATAATGTGATCTTTCAAAGATTTGTTCTGTGGGAATCAGGCGTTAAATTCGCCAGTCATTGTGTCAACCGCGCAATCATTAAGTTTATTAGCTCGATATGGCTTGAATTTGATCCAAGGAATAAGCAAAGCATAATTTCGGCTAACTGATCACCTAACTTTATGGATCACACAAAAGCTTGCTGTGCATCCATTACAATGAAGTGTTTCTGGATATATCACTTATTATTATTAATTTTCAACCATTCCAGACTTACGTAGCCGACATCTTCCTAGCTCAATCCTGGAGAGACCCTCGTCTTCGTTTACCAGAGAACATGCACGAAGAGTACAGGATCCTGGATGTAGACTGGCTGAACAAGATCTGGAGACCAGACTGCTTCTTCAAGAACGCTAAGAAAGTGACCTTCCATGAAATGAGCATACCCAACCATTATTTATGGTTATACCATGATAAGACTCTGCTGTATATGTCCAAGTAAGTTGGTGAAATTATGTCAGAGTCTGTATTAAAAAAATCAGAAGGTTAAAGAGAAAAGTGCCTGCTGACACCATGCCCTATTTCGGACTCAGTAACGTGGCTAAAAACCTAAAAATTATCAGAACTCTAATTTTTTCCTCTAACCATTTTCCTAACTAACCAAGTTCGGAGTTGGCAATGAGTCTTTACTAGATTAACCCATGGTACGAACGTAGGGAGACGCAATGTATTTTTACTGTGTCTCATATACCCGGCACTCAAGAGGTTAAGCTGAGTACCAATTTCTTATTCATCTAATTACCCTTAAATCCACGACAACTTTAAATACATATAACTTTTTTTACAAGCTTTTGTACATGTTTTTATTGATCTAAGTTAGGCAAAAATTGCTCAAAAGTGGTTGAATAACTTATTAATGTTACTCACACCCCTTTACCAGACCCTTTGTCGGAACTTTATGTGATTGCGTTTATTTATATTTCTAGATTGACTTTGGTCCTCTCCTGTGCCATGAAGTTCGAGTCGTATCCCCATGACACACAGAGCTGTTCTATGATGATTGAAAGCTGTGAGTTATTTGGACACTTTATTTATTTACTGAAGAATTCAGGGAATTTATTATTACCTATACCTATAAGTATGACCAGGTTCTAGTAGTTAAAATGTATCTGCGTACGCAATACTTACTCAATGATTTATAGTTAAATTGTGAATGTCAATGCCGTCTTCTTCATAGTACTTAAACATTTTTTCTTTCCAGTATCTCACACCGTCCACGACCTTGTATTTATCTGGAACCTTACAGACCCGTTAGTGGTTAACCCGGACATTGAACTGCCTCAACTAGACATCTCCAATAACTACACATCTGATTGCACTATAGAATACTCTACGGGTAAGAAATAAGATATCGAAGTAAGGCTTAGTTGCACCACAGAAAGTAGTTATAGTATTTGTTTTAACAGTAACCAGAGAAAAGTGAGCGGTTACAGTTATAGTTAAAGTTACGACTGCCTCATTGTCCGAGTGGTCGCAAGTGCGACTGCCAGGCATCAGGTCTCGGGTTCGATTCCCAGGTCGGGCAAAGTATTACTGGGTTTTTCAAAAATTCCCAGTAGTAGCACGGAGTCTGGAATTGTGCCCGGTATGTGGCAATAGGCTCACTCCCTATTACATGGGACTCATAACATAAATAGTGAAAAGTGGGTGTTACATTGTACAGTGGCATAATGTACACCTCTGCCTACCCCTTCGGGGATAAAAGGCGTGATGTTATGTTATGTTTGTTAAAGTTACGACGTCATTTAACAATTTGTCAATTGGTGCAACGTCTTTTTGACCTAATCGATACTTTAATAGAAACTTTGACGTTTGTCATTGTTAAATTAAGTTGGTACAACCCAGCCTAAGACCCCCATAAGTGCATGCTGTAAAAACATTTTTTGTTCACACAAGACATATATTTTTTCTAGTTATATTGCGTCCTATTTTAATAACATATTAGCTCACTGTGTGCCATTTTAAATTCAGAAGACCTTTCAACCAATGCAGGAATCAATTCAACAACATTCTATTTTAATCTCTTCTTCATCTTCCAGGCAACTTCACCTGCCTAGCAGTAGTGTTCAACCTCCGTCGTCGACTGGGCTACCATCTGTTCCACACCTACATCCCATCAGCTCTCATTGTCGTCATGTCCTGGATCTCATTCTGGATCAAACCTGAAGCCATTCCTGCTAGAGTCACCTTGGGAGTCACTTCGTTACTTACTTTGGGTAAGTTTGTGTTTTGTATTATCTTTTTTATTTTTTTAAGATTTCAGTAAAAGTGTATACGTACTCACCTCTTTTATCATATTATTAACGGTAGTAGGTTAGGGGCCGTCAGAAGACCTACCGGGTTACCGGGGTTCCAGCTTGAGGCAGGAATCGGAACGGGGTGGTTTTTAGTGAGTAAGAGTCTCGCCTAACACAAGGCGGGAGGGGGAAGTCGTAGTAGGGATGATTTGCGTTTTGAAAGAGGCCTTAAAATTCTCAGTAGTAGCACGGAGTCTGGAATTGTGCCCGGTATATGGCAATAGGCTAACCCCGTATTACATGGAACTCATAACATAAATAGTGATAAGTGGGTGTTACTTCGGTGTGCACCTCTGCCTACCCCTTCGGAGATAAAAGGCTTGATGTTATGTTATGTCCTATTATACCTAATAATGCTTCGTTCATTAAGTGATGAACGAAGCATGATGATCAGGGTTTCCCAATCTATGTGTCGCGACCAATTAATGAGTGAATGAAATGAATGAATTTTTAGTGAGAATGACACACTAACCAATCGTTCTCCGAGCGTACCTCGCGTAGCGTCCCGCGCGCGCCTCAAAGAGCCATCAGACCACCACAGATGGGGCCCAATAGGGCTGTTGCCGATTCGGAGTCGCCGAGAACCTAACGGGTAACCGGGGCTCCGGCTCGACGTGCAGGAGTAGGAACGGGGTGGTTTTTAGTCAGTAAGAGTCTGACACTCCCTTCCGCCTCACTCAGGCGGGAGCAGTCATTCGATGATGAAATGAAATTCTGTATTTTACTTTTCATATTGGTAATGGTTTAATTTCCTAAAAGTAGGTCCTGAGTAACTTTGGGAACCACCATCTGACTTGCGACTCATTTTAATAAATTTTTGTCCCCAGCTACTCAAAACACACAATCCCAACAGAGTCTACCACCAGTGTCATACGTAAAAGCTATAGACGTGTGGATGTCCTCCTGTTCCGTCTTCGTGTTCCTCTCACTCTTCGAATTTGCCGTGGTGAATAACTACATGGGTCCTGTAGCTACGAAGGCTATGAAGGGGTACTCTGATGAAGACCTTTCTAGAGATCTGGATGCTTTTAAGGTGAGATGTTGTTCTTTGTGTTTCTGCAGATGGCAGTTGATGATGAAAAATGGATTTGGAGTTGTCTTTTTTATTAGTAAAGCGAATAAATAAAATAAAAATAAAATAAGTCTTTATTGCTGTAGTTACAATAAACAAAAATTACAGTTGTAACCAAAGTTGTAACAGAGTTAAGAAATAAACAAACTTAAAAAGTACTCCAACATTATCTCAGCATTCGGTTTCTCTCCTCTTACAACGTAAAGCGAATCAATTATTATATACAAAATTATCATATTTGATGATTTAACAGTGAATTTTTGTATTGTTGTGGTCACAAGCAGGCTTTACTTTAGTACTCTTGGAACTATTTTACGATAACTTTATGTACGTCGAAGATGTCACTATTACTGAAAATCTTTCATGAATTTCAAAAAGTCTGTGTGTACTTCACGGAATACCTAGATCAAATATGAAAAAAATGACTAGAAGAGTGGAGATCCATGATCTGATGTCATAGTTATTGTCAACGAAAATAAATTCTACGTCACTTTTCAATTTTAAATTTTTTATATGTTCCAGCACATATTTCCAACCACAGTGGACCCTAGAGCCAGTACATCAGCTTCCATACCTCAGTACGAGACCTTCTGCAACGGGAGAGAGACAGCAGTATATATAGATCGGTTCTCTCGCTTCTTCTTTCCTTTCTCTTTCTTCATCCTTAACGTGGTCTACTGGTCTACTTTCCTGTGATTTGTGGTATTCTTGGTTTTTTGTTCTTTTCATAGTTTAAAATGCTGTGCTACGCAGTCTTATAATTTTACTTATTTACTCAATTCATAAATATTGTCTATTTTTTTAAGGAGTAATTCATCTAAATTGACTTCTCCCATCTTTGGTGAGGCGAGAGTGAGTGTACTGATGTGTATTGACTAAAACCCACTCCGTTTGTACTCTTGCTTTGAGTTTGAGTCTCGATAACCTACTACTTCCGCAGCTACGATCGGGAAGTATTGTAGACCTACATGCATATCTAAGCATGTCTTGTCTTGTTTCTTTTTGAGGTCGGAAATCATCCAATGACTTTTCTCGCCTCGTGTAAGGCGATAGGAAGTGTCAGACTCCTACTGACTCAAAACTACCCCGTTCCTACTTCTGCCCTTCGAACTGAAACCCCGGCAAACCGTGAAGTCTTCCGCGGCTCCGTATCAGCATCAGCCCCACAGCCCGGTCTGTGGTAGTAAGATAGCTCTTTAAGGTGCGCGTGGAACGCGACACGCCGTTCGTTCAAGTCTGGTTCTTGTCGGGCGGCATGTTACCCTTGCTAACCGTGTCGCGGAGAACCTATCGGGTAACCGGGGCTCCGGCTCGACGGGCAGGAGAAGGAACGGGGTGGTTTTTAGTCAGTAAGAGTCTGACACTCCCTCCCGCCTCACCCAGGCTGGACCAGTCATTTAGGCCTATGCTTACGGTGGCCGTAGACATGCTTAAACTCAAATTTCAGTGACGTGATTAGTTTCGTTGTCGCATATATACGTTATTTGGTCATTATAAATCACACTATAGTGTTTCGGAAATTAAGTATTTAAGTAAAATTAAAGCAAACAAAGTATTAAATAAGTCTTTATCATAAGTACCTACAGTATCTTATTACCTAAGACGGTGTAATTGGGTACTTTCCTTAATCAAAAATAAATTATTTCGACTGTTCAATACAGTAAAATATTAAAAAATAAACACACTTTCATTAATTGATTTTATGACCAACTTACTTTTAGTATATTTCCAGCAAATTTTAAAGATATAAGTATGCTGTTTGACGCTAAAAAAGCGTGACGTCACAATACACAATCTCGTACAAAATTCATAGAAAACTGTTGTTTTTGACAGTTCGAAAGATAGATATTGAATTTGACTGGTTGGTCAGTAGTTAGTACCCAATTGTTGTGTTCTTTCATAATTAAAATTCTATTAATATTATCATAATGATAATAATATTTTAAGTTAGTTTACAATAATTAGAAATAGAAATATTAAATGGTAATTAATATAAGAAATCAAACGTTTATTAGGTACCTAAGTTTGATTGTGAATTTAGACATCTCTAGTCTTTAGTAATTTTAGTTAAAATAGACAATAAAGTTATTTAAAAGGTTAATGTGTCTCTGTTTTCTTAATTTGTTATTAATTTTTGGTTTCGGTTCTCTTCAGATGGATTTTAGTTTAAAATATCTCAGTAGCAGCACTTATTATAATTGATTTTTAATAAAAAACGTTAGCCCACACTAGTGTTTTAAAATAATTACGTGTGTAAGCCGAAAAATACAATAATGAATTGTAGTAGGTACAAAAAAAAAATTACTTTAAAAAAATTAACCGTCTTCGACCAACGAGGTAACATACGAAACAGAAGATTTTTCCGTTCTGTGAGGTAATTCTACGTGATATTTATTTTTTTATGCAATTGGAGGCAAACGAGCATATGGATCACCTGATGGTAAGTGATTGGCACTGCCTCTGGAAACCCACAACACTAGAGGAGTCACAGGGGTGTTGCCGGCTTTTTAAAAAGGAATAAGCTCTTTTCTTGAAGGTTGAAGCTTGTAACATAATATAACACAACATCACGCCTTTTATCCCTGAAGGGGTATGCAGACGTCCAAATTATGGCACTTAACGCCACTGTAATGTAATAATATACTGCCCTGTTGGGCCGAGTTGTAGCAAGTGCGATTGCCGGGCAAGGGGTTTCGGATTCGATTCCCGGGTCGGGCAAAGTATTACTGAGTTTTTTTATTCTTAGTAGAAGCTCGGAGTCTGGAATTGTGTCCGGTTGAAGGTTGTGTCGGTTCGGAAATTTGGCCGGCGACAAAAGATCATTCCAGTTTTGCTGTAAAACACATCTTTATTAAATTACAAAATACTTACCAATTAAGTTATTACACCAATTAAATTGTTTTTACCACAAATCAATAATAAATGACACATACACGGATACAAAGACAAATAAACAATTTAATAAAACAGGTTTCATTTATTCCATATGTTTTTTCCAATAATATTTCCTTAAGCCATCCTATATATAGGATAAAACGTATTTTATAACTCATTCGTTAAAGCATCATCAACATGATGATTAAGCCAACTATAATTCTCGCGGTTCTTGCCATATTTTTACTTGGAACAATAACATGTGACAATAAATCGCCATTATCAACTGAAAAATCGCATAAATTATCGGACATTTCCAAAACATCGCATACAAAATGGACTCACCACAACAATATTCATGTAAAACATAATATAAAGCGCATCAGGACTTTAGTTTCTCCTGGAACAGTCAAAGATAGGAAAAGAGACTTGAATCTTGAAGTCCCTTATCACCCAAAACCTGTCAGGAGGTTTAGAAGAGACTTCCATCTGCCTGGACCTGATTATACCGTTCCAGAGCTGCCTCGGAGACCGTTGAGTGAATACCCTTGGAACCGGGAGCCAGTTGATCGTTATCCAAGGCTAGGGTGAGGTTTGTTCCCATACCATGTGAACTTGTCAAGTGTGAATAATTTGGTTTCGTAAAAATTGTGTCATTTGAAATGTTGTATTGTGAAATTAATAATGTTATGTTGTAATGACAATGTTTGTTTTATTTCATGTTGGTTGGTTGTGGGTTTTTCTCTTGTCTTTAAGTACGGATCTTGGAACTTTGCATCAGAAATCTGGAATTTTGCACTTAGCAAAAGGTTTTCCAATTGTGATGTGTTGTCTGGGGCTGTATAACGTTGTAATCCTATGTGTAAATGTGTCGCAAGTTCCCATATTATAGTTTAGGTATTTAAACCTAGACCCATCTAAAATAGCTATAAAATAATGTTTGGCTTTTTGAACGGAACGGAAATTATTGAACGGATTTTGATAAAATTTGGTATACAGGCAGGGTATGGGCTGACTTAGGTGATAGGATACCGATTTTTATCCCGATTGAATGCTCATAAAACAGGAAAATATATGATAAAACCGGAATCATTTTGTACGGGGATGAACAGCTAGTAATATAATACAAATTATTCTGCCTCGTTGGTCGACTGGTTACAAGTGTGACTGCGGCAAGGGGTTCGATCTCGGGAGCCCGGGTCGGGCAAAGTATTACTGGGTATTCAAAAAATTCTCAGCAGTAGCACGGAGTCTGGAATTGATTGTGCCCAGTATATGGCAATAGGCTCATCCCCTATACCATGGGGCTCATAACATAAATAGTGAAAAGTGGGTGTTACATCGTACAGTGGCATATTGTGCATTTCTGCCTACCTACACCTTTGGGGATACAAGGTAGGCGTGATGTTATGTTATTAGTTTATAATCACTTAGATAAAAACCTAATGCAGTATATGCGTGCAAGCAAGTGTGGGAGAGCCATGCTTCGGCACGAATGGGCCGGCTCGACCGGAGTGATACCACGGCCCTCACAGAAAACCGACGTGAAGCAACGCTTGCGTTGTGTTTCGTCGTGTGAGTGAGGTTACCGGAGGCCCAATTACCTTCCCCTTCCCCAATCTCCCCAATCCCTGAATCCCCAACGATCCTCAAACTCCTAATCCCCAAAAAGCCGGTGACGCACTTGTAACGCCTCTGGTGTTCCAGGTGTCCATGGGCGACGCTGATTGCTTACCATCAGGTGATCCGTCTGCTCGTTTACCGGGTTATGTATTCCATAAAAAAAAATACATTTTATATGGTCCGTAGATTAAACCCGAGATTTAATATATGCTAATAATCGTGTGCCAAGTATTATATAACCTATACTTCTATCAATTCTATATATATATACCTAAGTACCTAGACACCCAATAAAGAACTCAAAATTATTCATTGTCTAGCTGATTCCGTCAGCGATGCAGGCCGCTAACCTGCAAACAGACAGCAGGCATTAGAATAGTCTAGACAATTAGGCATGCCATTCTTTGTGCAGTCTAGAACTTTGCATATTTTAAGGCCAAGATTGTTCTAGGTTTTTTCGGTAGTATTCGACGTAGGGTTGGGCAGAAATGGACAAATAAATGCATGTAAAAAGGATACACCCACTTTTCATTTGATGACTTCGCCCGCCTTGGGTGCGGTGAGAGGTAATGTTAGACTTTTTTTTTGGTGCAAGCCCGCCACATCCTCCCAAAACCGCTGCAACTCCTGTAAGCCAGGATCTACAGTAGGTAGATACAACCATGAAAACACTGGTACACTGAAGTCCAGCGCGTCCCAGGGACATGAATAACTGTCTTGGTTCCCGCAACGAAGTGAATTAGAAAATATTAATTGAAGAGAAGAAAAAAAAGTCAGACATATACTGACTAAAAACCACACCTTTTCTACTCCTGCTATTCGAGCCGGCTATTGCTATTATTTATGGCATAAGCTGGTAAACGAGCAGACGGATCACCTAATGGTAAGCAATCGGTGTATGGGCGCATGGACACCTGGAATACCAGGGGCGATACAAGTGCGTTACCGGCCTTTTGGGGATTAGGAGTTTTAGGATCGTTGGGGATTCAGGAATTGGGGAGATTGGGGAAGGGGAGGGAATTACCCTCCTCCTCCGGTAACCTTACTCACACGATGAACAACAACGCAAGCGTTGCTTCACGTCGATTTTCTGTGAGGCTGTGGTATCACTCCGGTCCATTCGTGCCGAAGCATGGCTCTCCCATACTACTCTAACACTACAAATATTCCTTTAAAAACAGTGGGTTAAAAAAATTAGGTTAGGAAGGCTCAAGTGCCACAATTTTTGTAGGTCAACAAACAGGAAACGGTTTTCTCCATTCGAAACTACACTTTGGAACCAGCTGCTAGCTTCACTGATAGACAGACGGACAATTAATTTTTTTAGGTTTCAAAACTGCTTAGTTACGGATTAACATAACATAACATCACGCCTTTTATCCACTAAGGAGCAGGCAGAGGTGCACATTATGCCACTGTACAATGTAACACCCACTTTTCACTATTTATGTTATGAGTCCCATGTAATAGGGGGTGAGCCTATTGCCATATACCGGGCGCAATTCCAGACTCCGTGCTACTATTGAGAATTTTTAAAAACCCAGTAATACTTTGCCCGACCCGGGAATCGAACCCGAAACCCCTTGCCCGGCAGTCGCACTTGCTACCACTTAGCCAACGAGGCAGTCAGTTAAGGATTAA